AGAGACTGAACCAATGAGAAGGAAGCAAAGGAGAGGGGGTGGGGAAGTGGGCGGGGTCTCGTTTAATGGGCTGGACTTCCAGGGCTCCTGGGAGGACCCATGCCGGCAGGCTGACTGTGGACCCCGAGACCGGCCCAGCTCAGCGCTAGCCTTGTGGGAGGGGTGTGTCCCCCAAATAAGCTAGGGCACCGCGATTTGGGTGGGGATGATGGGGAAGGGGGCGTATGGGAGTGAGGTCCTGGAGGGGCTCGCATTTGGGAAAGGGCAGCGGTCAGGAAAGGACTCTTGGAGGGGAGGCACTTAAACTGAATCTTAAACGATCGATAAGACTTTCCCAAAAGAAAGAAATAATAAGAGTAAAAGCCATTGCGGATCGAAGCCTGGGCGTGTTTGGGTTGTGGGACTTGCAGTCGGAGTAGACCTTGGCGAGCCGGGAAGCAGAACTTGGCAGGTGGGTGGGGAGAGGCAGGTCCGTTATGCCAGAGGCCATGCCCTGGGCAGCCACCATGCGTCCTCGCCTTTGATTCTATTCGGAATAGAAAACGATGACAGGGCGACTGGGCGACTGTTTGGACGTCAGGAACCAGTTATGTTGATGAAACTCATCAGCTCCTAACGATCAGCAAGGCCCCTCTCTGTCTTCTTTTTAACTTTGTTGTTTTCCATTGTTCCCTCCTCACATGCCCGCCCATTTCTCTACCTCCCATGGTGCACCCTCTTTCATATGTTTAGGTACCAGTACAAGTGTATGTCCTGAAAAGTTTTTGTTTGTGTATCTATTTTTAATATACACGAATGGTCTTGTGCCAAGAACTCACTCTGTTTCTTGTTTTTCCCTCAGCATAATGCTTTAGCGGTCCATCCCTGCGGCTGCACAGATCATTATATAGCATTGATTCCTACCACCAATGGCATTGGATTTGGGCATCTAACACATTTTACTTATCAACCCCTCAAATAATGGACAGTTCTGTTGCCAGCAGTTCCTTGTTAACCACAGACAATGCCAGGATGGGATGCGTCCCTTACGGACCACAAGGAAAATGGAACTCCTGGGTCATGGCGTCTACAGGGCTTAGTTTCACTCTGCGCCTCTCTCTCCAGAATGACTGTCACTTGGCCCTTCCACCAGTGGCACATAACGGTAGGAAGATTCCTGTTTCCCTACTCTGTACAGTAACATTTGGTGTTATCCAACGTCCTAATTGACATCAATCTGATATTGGTAGAGTAATATCACAATGTAATTTCCATTTGTATTTCTTTGATGATTCGTGATGTTAATTATTTTTCCATAGACACTTAAGAACCATTGAGATTTTTTCCCTTCTGTGAAGTAGCTATTGACATTCTTTGCCTCTTTTTCTGCTAAATTTCCTATTTTTTTGTGAATGAATTGAAGGAGTTCTGCCCACGGACACAGACAATGGTGTGGTGAAGGCCTGGGAGGGGCAGGTGGGAGGTGGAAGGGGTCAATGGGAAAAGACAACAAAGGGGACATCTGTAATACTTTCAACAATAAAGATAATATTTTTTAAAGAATTGAAGAAGTTCTTAAATGTTCTAAATATGAATCCCTTGTCAGGTTTGGACATTGCAAATATCCCCCAACCTTCCATGCATCCTGTTAGCTTGGTTTTTGCTATCTTACAGAATAGGGGAGAACCCTTAATTTTGGAGCAGCCAAATGCATCAGATTTTAGCTTTGCAAAGTGTGCTTTGGGGTCTTGTTTAAGATCTTTTCTACGCACAGTCACAAAATATTCTCCTATTTAACTTCATACCTTTAACTCTCACAGTTAGGTCTGAATTCATCCCAAGTAGGAATGCGATATTATTTTCACCAAGGAGCCAGTTTTCCCAGCAATGCCATCTCTTTCCCACCGATGTCTGATGGTGTCTGGATTAGATGCCACGTCTCCACAGACACCTGTGTCTGTTTCTGAGTTCTCGTTGCTGTTCTGTTGACCTAGTCCTGTTCTTGCACCAGTGCTGCGCTGATCTTACTGCTATAGCTGTGCTACAGGCACCCTAATACCTGGTAGAGTGGGTCCTCCCACTCTTTGCTCTTTTCCTTTTCCCAGTATTGCCTCTGAAGTTCAAAGCAAAAAAACAGTGAGTGGTTACCCCAAATCTGAAATTCAGGTTTTCCTGATCCCTCTCCCACTGAGCGGGGAGGGGGAGCAGAAAGTGGTACATCCTGACTGGATCAGAGAAGAGGCAAAGGGGGCGGGGTCCTTAGCAAATACCTTGCAGCCTCCCTTTTCTGTCAATTTCTGAAATTCTCCTCTCCTCCTTGATTTGTAACTGGTACCAAATAATATTTGCAAACTTCACCCTGTTTCAGCTTAGAAGTATTTTCTCATATTTGGATTTTGTAACAGCATCATCTGAAGTCTGATGGCATTCTTAATGATGAGAGATTGAATCACCAAGACGTAGCTTTCATGTTGGCTGTTCCAGGGCTGCAGGCAGATGAAGGAGAATGTTCTACTGATGGCTGGAATCTGTGACTGCTACCGTCACCACCTGGGGTGGAGATAGCCCACCTCGCCTATAGCCCACCCTCGCCTATAGCCCATCTTGCCTATAGCCCACCCTCGCCTATAGCCCACCCTCGCCTATAGCCCACCCTCGCCTATAGCCCACCTCGCCTATAGCCCACCTCGCCTATAGCCCACCCTCGCCTATAGCCCACCCTCGCCTATAGCCCACCTCGCCTATAGCCCACCCTCGCCTATAGCCCACCCTCGCCTATAGCCCACCTCGCCTATAGCCCACCCTCGCCTATAGCCCACCCTCGCCTATAGCCCACCTCGCCTATAGCCCACCCTCGCCTATAGCCCACCCTCGCCTATAGCCCACCTCGCCTATAGCCCACCCTCGCCTATAGCCCACCCTCGCCTATAGCCCACCTCGCCTATAGCCCACCCTCGCCTATAGCCCACCCTCGCCTATAGCCCACCTCGCCTATAGCCCACCCTCGCCTATAGCCCACCCTCGCCTATAGCCCACCTCGCCTATAGCCCACCCTCGCCTATAGCCCACCCTCGCCTATAGCCCACCTCGCCTATAGCCCACCCTCGCCTATAGCCCACCCTCGCCTGGCTGCCAGAAAACCCGAGTCCCAGTCCTGACTCTGCCAGGAACACGCAGTGGAACAGCTCCTGGCGCCTGCGTTCCTTATTTGAACTGCTTTCTTGGGGCTTGGCTCTCTGTGCCCTAGAAGCAGCCCTGCAGCCTGCGGCAGACATGTGCGACCATCCAAGTTCACAGGTAAAGAACCTGTGCTCTGAGAGGTGGTGTGACATGGGCGGCAGCACACAGTTAAGGAAACCTAAATGTATTCACTTCATTGGCTTGTTCAACAAGAGCGTGGTGACTAAGCACATGGACTTTGGCGCCTAACTACCTGAGTTTGAACCCTGGTTCTGCTACTTCCTACTGTGGGCACCACTCTGTCCCTCCCGTCACTCATCTCTGAGGAATAAAAGCAGTACTTACTTAGCACAAAGTCTTGTTGTAAGAACTAAATGAGATAAAAGATGTATGCAATGCTTAGAGAAATTCCTGGCACAAAATAAGCACTCCGTATTTGCTATTTTTATTACCACTAGACCACACCCTCGCCTGGCTGCCAGAAAACCCGAGTCCCAGTCCTGACTCTGCCAGGAACACGCAGTGGAACAGCTCCTGGCGCCTGCGTTCCTTATTTGAACTGCTTTCTTGGGGCTTGGCTCTCTGTGCCCTAGAAGCAGCCCTGCAGCCTGCGGCAGACATGTGCGACCATCCAAGTTCACAGGTAAAGAACCTGTGCTCTGAGAGGTGGTGTGACATGGGCGGCAGCACACAGTTAAGGAAACCTAAATGTATTCACTTCATTGGCTTGTTCAACAAGAGCGTGGTGACTAAGCACATGGACTTTGGCGCCTAACTACCTGAGTTTGAATCCTGGTTCTGCTACTTCCTACTGTGGGCACCACTCTGTCCCTCCCGTCACTCATCTCTGAGGAATAAAAGCAGTACTTACTTAGCACAAAGTCTTGTTGTAAGAACTAAATGAGATAAAAGATGTATGCAATGCTTAGAGAAATTCCTGGCACAAAATAAGCACTCCGTATTTGCTATTTTTATTACCACTAGACCAGTGTCGTCCCCCTCCCCTCCTCTGCCCATACCCAGCTTCAGAAAAGATTTCATAAACTGCGCTGAATCAATTGATTGTTGTGAGAGGCAGAATAATCCTCTCCCAAAGATGTGCACATCCTGACCTAACCGGTTTGGCTCAGTGGATAGAGCGTTGGCCTGTGGACTCAAGGGTCCCAGGTTTGATTCCGGTCAAGGGCATGTACCTTGGTTGTGGACACAACCCTGGTGGGGAGTGTGCAGGAGGCCGCTGATTGATGTTTCTCTCTTCTATCCCTCTCCCTTCCTCTCTGTAAAAAATCAATAAAATATTTAAAAAAATAAAAATAAAAAAAGATGTGCACATCCTAATCCCCCGATCCTGTGACCATGGTAACGAATATGGCGAAAGGGCCTTTGGAGACATGACTAGTTGAAACATCTTGAGGGTGGAGACGTTCTCTTGGATGATCCAGGTGAGCCAGGTAATGACAGGGTCCCTCAGAAGTGAAAGAGGAAGGCAGAGTCAGGGCCGGTGATGCGAGGCAACAGAAACGTGGCTGGCCATGGCTGGTGGTGAAGACCGGAGGGCACCACAGCGGGCAACCTCTAAAAGCTGGAAAAGGAAAACCGAACACTCAGCTCCCCTAGAGCCTCCCGATGGAAGTGCAGCCCGCTGACACCTTGCAGTCGGGCCAGGGAGACCCGCTCTGACCTCCAGGACCCAGAGAATACATTTGTGTTGTTTCTAGTCACTAGGCCAAACTGCAGCCCCTTGAGTGTGGCTCTTCCACAAAATACCACATATGGGCGTGCACGTGCAGTGTGATTGAAACTTCGTGGCCACACTCAAGGGTCCAAAGAGCTGCATGTGGCTCAAAAGCTGCAGTTTGCCGACCACTGCACTAGGCTGATGGTCACCTGTTACAGCAGCAATAGGAAGTGAATATCATTGTCTGTGTGAGAAAGATAGTTAAATTAGCCTTCTCCCTCAGACCACACACCAAAGTCAGTTTCAGGTGAATGAAAAGCCTAAACATGAAAGACAAGTCTTCCAAACTTTTGAAAGAAAACAGAGGAGAATTTTTTATGATGTCAGACAGCATAGGGAGTGTTTTTTTGTTTGTTTTGTTTTGTTTTTTATTTCAGAGAGGAAGGGAGAGGGAGAGAGAGATAGAAACATCAATGATGAGAGAGAATCATGGATTGCCTGCCTCCTGCACACCCCACACTGGGGATCGAGCCCACAACCCAGGCGTGTGCACTGACTGGTAATCAAACCGTGACTTTCTGCTTCATAGGTGGATGCTCTACCACTGAGCCATGCTGGCCACACAGGAGTGTTTTCATAAACAAAACAAAAAGCGCATGCTATAAAATAAAAGACTGATAAATCTAACTACCTTAAAGTTAAGAAGCTTATATTCACCAAAAGACACCACAAAGACAGTGACAAGACACACTATAGAGTGAGAAAAGATATTTGCAACAAATTAATCAAAGAACGATCGCTGTCCAGAATCAAGAATCCAACAAGTCAGTAAGAAGACAACTACATAGAAAAAATGGGCAGGGCACATAGACAACCAGATTACCGGAGAGGAGTCACCAATAACCTCTGAAAAGAAGCTCAACCTCATTAATAACCAGGGAAAGGTAAGTGTACACACCCACCCACATAGGCAAAAGAGTGACAAAAGAGAGACGAGGTGGGAAATGACAGTAGCTGGGACTGGAGTCGTTATGATAGAGATGGAGCCATGTGAACAGATTTGAGATATTTTGGAGGAACTGGGGGGGGGGGGTGTTGGGGAGAGGATAAAGGTCAGGGAGGCAGGGGCATTAAGGATGATGTCTGAGTTTTTGGCATCACCCACCCAGCACTCTTTCTGCGCTCTCTTTCATGTCTGCGTAGATGGCAGCTGGGGACAGTCGCCCCAGAGCTCCACCTGCAGCCCCAAGCGCACTTCCCAACGTCTGCCCCATGTCAGTGGTTGCTCCCTGGAGCTCCCTTCTCCTTGGCTTGAGTCTGGACAACTAGATGAGGTTCCTAGTGGCCCACGTCTGTTGGAAACTGCTCAGCACCTGACCCAGGGTTAGCACGTTTGTAGGGCTCTGTTGATGTTGACGGAGAAAATGGAAAGAGAAAGAGGGTGGAGACAGGAAGGGTAGAACAGGAAGCACTGAACTGCACAGAAGATCTCCTACCCCCAGGGTCCAAGCCACCATGATTTCTCAGCTGGATTCACAGAGCTTCTGCTTCACACTGACCCCGTTCACCCCAAAGTCAGACCTGGTCACCTTAGGCTCTAAACCAGGGCTTCTCGCCTGTTTCTTGTTGGGGAGGAGGAGAGGCCTTGCATTGTAGGGTGTTCAGCAGCAGCCTGGCCTCTACCCACTACTCATCTCACACAGAGAACGTCTTCCCACATCCTCCCTGGCTTCCTCTCTCCCATTCTCCCCCTCGCCCGCTCTGCTGTCCTCATGCGCGCTGGCCTCCTCGCTCTCACGCGCACATGGCCGTCTGAGCCCAGTCAGAGCCTTGGGCCCGCCGTTCCCTCTGCTCGGAATGCTCTTCCATGGGGCTTTCAGGGTGTGAATCAAATGGCACCTTCTCGGTGAGGCCAGCCCAGGACGCCTTTTACGAAAGTAAAATCCTACTGAATGAATTTGCTAAACTCTCCTTAACAAAATACCACAGCCTGGGTGGCGTAAACAACAGAAATTCATCGTCTCGCGGTTTTGGAAGCTGGAAGTCAAAGATGAAGATGCCAGCCGGGTCGGTTTCTCCTGAGGCTTGTGATGGCCGCCTCCTTCCCACTATGTCCTCCCGTGGTTTCTCCTCTGTGTGTGTCTGGGTTTCCTCTTCTTATGAGGACCCCAGTCATATTGGAGAAGGGCCTACCCGAATAGCCGCACTTTAACTCACTTCTTGCATGGCTCTGTCTCTGAATGCAGTCACATTCTGAGGTATTCAGATGAATTTTCGGGGACACAATTCACTCATACCACCCACCATCACCACCACCGGCACTTTTTTAAAATATATTTTTATTGATTTACTAGAGAGGAAGGGAGGTGGTGGGAGAGAGAGAGAGAGAGAGAGATCAATTATGAGAGAGAATCATTGATTGGCTGCCTCCTGCATGCTCCCATAATGGGGATGGAGCCTGCAACCGGGCATGTGCTCTGACCAGGAATCGAACCATGACCTCCTGGTTCATAAGTGGATGTTCAACCACTGAGCCACATGGGCTGGGCTGAATATTTTACTTATCCACCTCATTTACAGTCTTTTTCTCCTCTAATTCCCCACTCAAATGTTGTGTTTCATGAAGGCCAGGGCTTTGTCCATTTGATTCACCACTATATCCCCAATGACTAAAATAATGCCTGTACGTACATAGTAGGTGCTCGTTAATTATTCGTTAAAGTAATGAATAGGCATAGCTTCGCCACTAACTAGCTGTAAACTTGGGAACCACTAAATCTCTTTGGGCCTCAGCTGCTCTGTCAAACGCGGGAATCCGGCGAGGTAACGTGGAAGCGGAATTCTGCTCTATTGGACTCTAGATGCTGGCTCGGCCCAGATGCTCTAGAAAACAATCTGGGGCAAAGCTTCAGTGCTAACCCTTCCTTCCAGGTGTGACCCAGGCAGCCAGAGAGCAGGCAGGCGGGCAGGATGGGCAGCAAATCCACACGCACCAGCACAGGCACCGGCTGCCACGCCATCCCCACCCCACCCCCATTCACACAGAGGCCCAGCCCGGTGCCAGTACGCCTCCAGGCAGCAGGCAGGCTGCGCAGACGCCAGGCAGAACTCTCCTCCGTGGGAAGGAGGCCGGGAAGGCTCCTCCGGCCACGGTCAAAGTTGGCCCCTTGGGGAGTTAACTGCCTGCACTTGGTCTCCGGAGAAGCCAGATCCAGCCCCTCGGGTGGAAGGCTGCAGGGACAGAGAGAGGAGGGTGAGCAAGTCAGTGGCTCAGAGCCTGGGAGAGAGGTGGGACCCAGAGCATCTGACAGCCTAGGGCCTAGGCTGTGTCCGGACTGAGGAGGGGGCGGTGGGGGTGAGGGCAGCCCTAGGTGAGAAACGAGAGGCCACAGTGTCTGGACAGGGGTCAGGAGAGAGCAGGTGGGAAGCGATGGGCTCCAGCGCTGGGGAAGGAGCTCGGCCCAGCACCGGGGCCTGCCCTGCTGGATGGGATTGGTTTTCTGAAGTCCTGACAGGAATCCATGGCCCACAGCCTGGCCTGGTACAACTGTTCTGGTGGGGCCCGGAGGAGGGCACCCAGCCTCCTTGCCTGTGCTGAGGTGGCGCCGCCTTCGGCCCGGGGCAGGTGGTGGCGGGGCTTGGGCTGGCAGCCTCAGCCCCTCTTCTGATGTCACTTTGCAAACTTCCTCAACTCCGGCCATCCCCTCAGCGCCTCGGAGGAACAAAGGACTTCACTGCCAAGGCCCCTCCACCGGGCGGGGGTTGTTTTCTCCTGCTGGGGCTGTGTGTCGGCCTGAGCCCCACCTGGAGGGCAGATAGGGGTGCTGATACGCACCCAGCAGATTGCTCCTTTGTCTCCTGGGAGGCAGTGGGCGAGAGAAGGGGGTGTCTGCAGAACCGTGGGGGGCTGAGGGGCCCAGCGAGGAGGAGGGTCTGCCTGTCTCCTGCCTGTGCAGAGGCAGCGGCAGCGGGAGGCTGATTATAGGGCTGGGTCCCCGAGGCCGCGGGTGTGGGTGCAAGGAGCTGGGCACACACTTGCCTGTCGGAGTGGGGGTGATGGTTACCCTGGTGACCAGGCTGGGAAGTGGGTTGGCCTTGCAGGCAAATGTGCCGGGAAGACATAGAATAAGCCCTGGTTAAAGCTTCTGTCTCCCTCTCCCCCTTTTCTTCCCCGGAGCACAGGTTCCATGGAGCCTGCCATCACACATGAAGGGCAGCTCGCAGTGGCTGGCCATGGCACCCTGTCTGGTGGCCTGTGCACACGCTCTCCTCACCTCCTGGTCCTCCCAGCCCTGGGGCCTGGGCAGCTCACTTCCCCTCTCTGGGCCTCACTCTGACCAGGCACTCCAAGGTGCCTTCATTTCTGATTCCCAGGTGCCACCCCGGGGCTCACTCAGGAGGGCTGGAGCTGCACCGGGAATCTGCATCCCAGGCACCCCCTCCGCACCCCCAGGCCCCGGCCACTGCGGCTCAGAGCCCCTGCCGCTCGGCATGGAGAGCACAGGCACCTGGGTTCTCGCCTCACCTCTGCTGTCTCCTTGGGCAGTTGGTGCAGCCCATCGAGCCTTGGTTTCCTCCCCTCTGTCGTTGGGCAGGAGGACTGCCAGCCACACGGCGTTATCGGGAGAATCAGCTGAGACAGTGGTCACGCCAGGATGCGATGAGGGTCCAGTAAGTGTTATGCTTTTAGCTCATTTTTCTACCTGAATCTGTAGGGTCTCTACTGTCTGCCCCCTTCCCGGCAGCTCCCTTTCTTCTGCTCCTTCTTCGGCAGCCAAATCCCATTTCCTGGAAAACTGTCTCTGCAATAAGCAAGGAGTCATCAGGTTAAAAGTCAGGCAGAGGAGGGACAGTGTGCGCACAGCCGGGCCCGCACACCCAGCCCCAACTTCCTTTAATCTGTTGCCATGATGACTCTTAGCTTACCAACCTCTACGGGTGGAATGCCTTCCTCCAGCATCGGGGGTGTGTGTGGGGGGTGGCGGGGAGTCTCTGGATCCCAGCGGTCATTTTCCCAAGGCGCCAAGAGATGGGAGGGCTCCATGCCCACCCCACCCCAACCACCACATTCCATTTCAAGAAAAACCGCGGCTTCCCTAGCACGAGGACTTAGCTGAATTTCGCTTCGAAGCCGCAGCGCCTGGCACAGTGCGTGGCATACTGGTTGAGATCTGATTTTCTTGACCCTCCTTCTCAACAGTGAGCTTCATTTAGGAGAGAGGCAAATGGGAGGAGGACTCCAGGCCCCTGTCACTTGATTTCTTCCCCACCTGTCCACCCTTTGGGAAAACTGCAGCCCAGCCTCTCCTGATGCATTTATTCACCCTGATCTCAACACACAGCTACAGTTCACTCTCACTTCCCCACCCCCAAAGTTTTGAAGTAAGTGTTGCCTCTAAGCTCTTTTAGTAAGTGTTCAACTAAGCTCTTTTGAGCGAGACTGGTTATTAACATATCAAATTCTACAGGCCATGACAATTAATCCTTCCTCTGCAGGGCCTTGGGTCCCCCAGCCATGAATTTTTCATGCCCTACCAACTCCCATCCTCCTCTCCCTCCAGGACCGCCTCGCTAGCAAAGAGAGTTGATGGAGCTCAAATTGGTTCAGGATGGCAGCTGACTAACAGATGTCATGAAGAGAAGGAGATTGAAACTCTTAGAAGTTTTCAAAAAATTATCTTAGAGATTAATCTATCTGTTCTGTCTGCCGTTAATAGACAATTTGTGAGATAATAGAAAAAACATATGTTGGTCTCTGCCTTGGTTCCTGGCACAGAGCTCCTAAAACCCTGGAGATTCCCTAAGTGATAGGAACCAGGTACAGCTCTTGTTTTAATTTTTGTCTTCGCACTGCATGGGAGGACATATGTGCCAACGCTGCATCTGATAAGGGGTTAATCTCCAAAACATATAAAGTACTCGTATGTGGAGAGCGGCTACAGTGTTTGGACCGGTTCAAGCCTCAGACTAATGAGAGGGCACAGTCCCCACTTGGAGGGCAAAGCCAAAGGCTATAATTGTAAGTTTGAACCTATGGTCCACATCTGTGGTCCCACGTGGCTGAGTGATGTGGGCTGCGGGAGGTGCAGCAAGTAAACAAAGCTTGATCAGGTGCATATAAGTGAGTAGATTCGAAACACCTGAGAACGTTGTAACCATGCACTTACTTTGCCTCATGGAATCTGGCTATAAAATAAAGAGATGGCTTGAAGGCTGTGGCACTGTTGCTAGCTCTCCATCAGAGAGGACAGCATCCCACCCAGACCCAGCTTTTTTCTCTTTTCTGTCTTTTCTCCATCCTTCACCACCCCCTCTCAGGCTCACTGAACCTGGCTGAGCTGGCTCAGCACATATGGCACCCAACATGGGGCTGAGTATGCCATGGCCATGCCACTTTGCCACTCATACAACTCGACAAAAGACAAACAATTTAAAAATGGGCAAAGGATCTGAATAGACACTTCTCCAAAGAGGACATACAAATGGCCAAGAGACATATGAAAGGGGCTCAATGCCACTAGTCT